TTTTTGATCTTTTTGATCTTTTTGATCTTTTTGATCTTTTTGATCTTTTTGATCTTTTTGATCTTTTTGATCTTTTTGATCTTTTTGATCTTTTTGATCTTTTTGATCTTTTTGATCTTTTTGATCTTTTTGATCTTTTTGATCTTTTTGATCTTTTTGATCTTTTTGATCTTTTTGATCTTTTTGATCTTTTTGATCTTTTTGATCTTTTTGATCTTTTTGATCTTTTTGATCTTTTTGATCTTTTTGATCTTTCTCTTTATCTGTAAAATATATTGAAATATATGTTGTGACTGTCGTGACGAGTGCGACCTATAATCCTCTGGCCAGAAGCTGGCAGCATAGATACAATAAATTCGTGGATTATCGATTAAGATACTTTCAGTGAGTATGGTGTGCTAAGTCGAGTTCTTCGCTGAAGTGTTGGATCAATTAACTGGTTAAATTGTATGGGTGTRCAAACCCTAGATTAATTAATAATGGACTTAAATAAACAGAACCTACCGGCCTGGACGAGAGATTCTGTTCTGCCTTCTTTCTGCATCCCAGGAATCCTCAGAATCTGCTGTTTCCCTAGAGCACATGGGAAGATGCGGAGACCACAGACACGTCCCTYAAAGGACGCCTTATGATTTCTCCCATTAAGTTTGCCCATGTAAACGGGAAATTGTGATCCAATTTCCATCGGTGCATAAACGTTCTGTAGTTGCTCAACCATTTCTCCGTCGTGCCATAKTTGGTAGATTCCAGACCCAAAGTCGTACGAGGCTGCAATGCAATTCCAATGGTTTAGCTTCAAAACTGGTCGAGATAACGGCTTCATCTGAACATGACCATTACGACTGTGAAGACAACAACATAAACTATGATTATGATAATGTTGTTGATGATAGTGATTATAGTATGTTCAATGTATGATAACGATGATGATGTCCATTAATGTTATCGTATGATAACAATAACGATATCGGATAACAATAATTATAAATGTAGCGAATTATCAATCATTATACAATTAGTCTAACACAAAATTCGAAATAAATGGGACGCCATTTCTCAATGGTGTTGACTTACCATTATTTCATTAGGGAGCTATCATTATTTATTGCGGGGAGGCCACTAAATTTGTGAGGAGGGTCACATTTTTTAGGATGTGTGTTTGGGGAGGATTGAATTTTTTCAAATGAGTTTTAGAGGAGGGTCACAAATTTTGGACTGGTGAAAAATAAATAAGAATAAGGCTTTTGCCTTGCAGGAATTTTTTTTCGGCCCTTCGGTATTAGCATACGATATTACAAAAAACAAAGGATCACAACACTTATCATAAATGATTGTTTTGCACAAATGTAATACGATAAAAAGAACTTAAAAGGAGTACTCCAGCAGTATTTTTCTATTTTTCAAGGTCTTTTCAAATGCCCTTTATAAAAACCTTTTCATTTCGAGCGCTTTTCAAGGAGTACAGCGAACCCTTAATAAAATGTGCCAGTTGTTTACTCAACAAAAAGTTATTTTAATATATTTTTAATCGGAATTCTATTATATATATTTTGGGGTAGGGTCATAATTTTTTTGTACCCGATTCAAGGGATAGCCACATTTTTTTCTTTGTCTTACAAGGGAGGGCCTCCATTTTCTCAACAGGTTTCGATGCAAATTTAATGGCCTTCCCCCTCCCCCCCCCCCCTTCAGTAAATAATGATAACTCCATAAATTACTTGATTTCGAATTTTGTGCCCAGCTGTAAATTTGATTGAACAAAGTGCGGACTTTCATTTGATCATACAAGAATGTATGACACGGTGAGCAAGAATGAATTTTTCATAAGATGTATATGACTATTGCTCTAACCTGTTGAAAGAAGCTTTCAAAACACCTTTCCCATCCTTCTCGCCATTCTGACTGATTTGAATTCCAATCATTCCTTGTTGATGAAAACAAACAATGGGACCACCCTTGCTGCTCATGGGATACACATTCAAAACAATAGTCATTGATTGACGGGTGTCAAGGAAGCCGTTGATCTTATTTGGTATGTAGATGAAGGAACTACGTGCACCCACCAGCTCGTACGAGCCATCAGAAGTGCCAAGGCCAGGGGCTGGCTTGGCGTTAGATGTCCGAGCTACGTGCAAAGTATTGACGAGGTTCTTTCTCTCGGAGGCGAGATTCAAGGGAAATACAGCAATAGGTGCTACACCTGTAATTGTAATACATGTGTTAGTAGGCCTGACTCGGGATCTTCTGATTCTTTGAGCTTTTTTGTCGAACTACTGTTTTTCTGATTCTTTGAGCTTTTTTGTCAACTACTGACTAGATTTTAGATTTTACAAGGTATTTTCTGAGCTACAAGATCAGTTCAAATTTCTATTTACTTAGCTTTGACATTAAAAGCAGAATCCCTATTGGTAATGGTATTAAAAAGGCGTAATTACAGATTAATTACCAACGCGGTACTGAAAAACACTTAAAAAAAAAAGAATATTTCTTGCTTCTAGCGTAAAGTACTACAATACTAAATTGATGATTCGGTACTAAATGTATTTTCATATATACCTTGCTATAAAATATTAAATGTTATTAGACTTCGAGCATAAAAGAGATCATTACTAATTTCATATTAAGTACTTTATAACCATTAATGCAACATCGGACACTAGCCTAGGATGATAGACAGGTCCTTCAAGCTAGTAGCAAATAAGTAAATACTCTAGAAAATAGCAGGAAAATACTCTCAAATAACATGTTAAAATGTTGATCTAAAGAAGCATATCTCTAATAACACGATAAACAAACTTATCATAAATGACATATCCTTAAAATTCTAGTAAAAGGTAATTACGAGTAGATATCAAATGACTCGTATGAAATTACAATATTCTCGAAGTTTTAAGATATTATCAATAAAGCTCTTAAGTTAATATCCTAAATCAAATTATATATATATGATCTATTTTGGTTTGTTTTGTAATGCTGAATTTCTAAATACCATAGCTGTCCCTATGATTCTGTTCTTGAATAAAATTATCTATAGGAACAACGTGATATATTATCTAATTGAATATATATTGAATATATTGAAATTTTGGCTCCTTAACACATGTATGCTGATTGAATGACGGGCAAACAAATGTAAGGAGGCAGTGGCGGATCCAGGGCGGGGTTCCATGGGTTCCTAGGAACCCGTCTCAAGCATAAAAAAATAATAAATGATGAATGAATCAAAATGAAAACGCATCGTAAAATGAATTTTTATTAAATACATTGATTCACGCTACATTTGCTACAGTACAGTTCGAGAGGCACAGTAAAAAAGTTCGTTTTGGGAAAATGGGAAAACAAAGTGGAACTCTCCTTCGAAAACTCCTGGATCCGGCACTGGGAGAGATATGGATATAAAAACTCACACATGAAGATTTTGCTCATAGCATGTCAGATTGAATGGGATTGATTGATTCGCTTTTATAATATAAATGGGATGCGGATGCAGAAAGCGGGGAGCTGTAACATCGATATACGAATGCTATCGCTAAATATCGCTTTACTTACTCCATCTCCATCATCGGCTGCCTCATCAAACCTCCTCCTTAATCACCTCCTCAAACTAATCATCCATGAGAACGCATCTCAACGATATATAAATAACCGATTATTTTACCCGATTATATCAGAGTGAAGCGCCGTTTTCAATAGCCAATCAGAAAACAGCTTAGTACATGCAGCCAACACTATAGGATCATCTCCTAAATGTACTTCATCTTGAGAAAGAGTCGTGCGAAATAGCCCTGTGTACGAGATTGTGATATTCATTAATAACTTACTTGATTCAAAAGGATCGTTGTTTACGAGTCCAAGCCAGTAGCACATCATAGTCCTTTGACTTCTCATTCCCGTTTCCTGGTCGATTGTAAGTTGATCATACAGCTCTGCAGTYAAGATTTTMTGAACTGATAATTCTTCTTCATGGACGATTTGTTTCTTGCACTTTTTGATGTTTTCTTCTGCAAGCTTTATCTGGTAGGCAATCTTTTCCAATTCACGTATTTCATGTGAAGCTGAAAAGCCTATATACAGGCAAAATAACACAAAAAAAATCTAAATAGGGTGGTGTATTTTCTCCTACCAAGAGGTGTGGTTGTTATGTGATGATGCATAAGCTGCAAAGTGTGAAGAAAGGGCTTAGGAGGCTAATGTGCTGTGAAAGCAGTGTACGTGGAAAGTCAACAGAGTCTCTGTTAGTCGGCAGCAATGAAAGACAAAAGAGATTGGCGAMCGCTGTTCCAAATTCTGAATGGTGATAAGTGATTCTTGCACACCCTGGTCGTTCGCGTTCACCCTCTCTTGCCGGAATTGCCTTTGGAAGCTATATTGGTTATTTTGTCCAATTTTCCCGATAGGTTCCACAATTTGTGAAGTATATAGTAGGTATTTTTGAGTGAAYATTTGTTTTACCAGTTTTGGTGATCGGTTCAATTTCCTACTTTTTTTGCTTTCTCAACTCACATCTTTATTATACACTTYTTCACCACCGCTGCACCACACCACACCACACGCGTAATCCCCACACACCCCTCAACTATTATTAACTCTCATTGTTTATTGAAAATGAATACATAGCCTTTTATCAGCAGCAAAGTGTTTTGTCTAATTGCATCATTTACAAACCTCTCCTGTTTCGACGCATTTGGAATCTCAGTTCTTTTAGACTACATTTCTGCATAACTTCACTTTGACTTCGTCCTCCAATTCGTACGATACCCTTCCGGTGGAATTTATGAATACCCTCTAAGAACTGATCAAGGGCGTGGTTGGTATAGCATACCACCAGTATAGGGTGGGTATTAGCCTTAAATCTACCCACTTGCCGTCGACCTGTCGCGGGGAGATTGTTTTTTTCTCTCATCCACTKGTCTTTATTGTTAAGTAGYACTCTGACAACCTTATCAAATAAATTTTGACATTCAATAAAATTGTGTGGATCGAAACTGCAAATGCTATCATGCAGATATATTCAATTGTGTCAGAGGATTGKAGAACCAACGACAGAAAGTTTTTGTGACTAGACTATTCAATTATACAGTCGATAGTCTACACCAACAGAAACTTTCCGTCCTCCAAYAGGCTTCTAAGTTTTGTGCATTYACCTTGAGACCTATGTATGTCTTCCCAGTCCCTGGCGGTCCTTGGATCAGAGCAAACTCATTCGTTAGAGCAAGCTGTACGGCTTTATATTGCGAGCTGTCGAGTCCCAAGTCATTCTCACTTGGCCAGGCGTTCGCATCGAGAATGTTAACAGATTCACCTGTAGTTAAAAGGTGTTTTTAAAAGTTTAAAAAAACTAATTCGAAAAATAATTTATTTACCAGTTACACCATGCTCCTCACAAAAGAGGATTATATAATGCAATTAAATGAAGATAATCTAGGTAATAGTTTTTACCATTATGCATTTATTAACTATCTAAGATCCTATTGGTCAACAGGCCAGCTAAAGACGTACAATGGAGAAAGGATTAATACAGTTATTGATCTGTTTAATATTGTTAAACTTACCTTTTATTTCCGAATCCTYGGATCTTTGGGAAGTATGCCTAAATGACAATTTTACAACAAGATATTCATCTAAGCAATCATTTACAGTTTCACATTCAAAACATTATACCGAAAGGATACATGGAGACAGTACGACAATTCAATGYACAGAGAATATTGCATGGTCATGCGGAGATCGTATTTTATCTTTGTGTTGAAAAGATCTCGAGAGAAGCAAAGAGACTTCTCCATATTTTAATAAAATACATTATGATTCTATGATTCTGAAGCAAACCCACTATTGAGTACTATGGCCGAGAACATGCATTTTAATCTTCAATAACCGTTCTAAATTAAAATCTCTCTGATTGGATAATATTCATACCTTGAGCCCTTCTTCATTATCGGTGTTAAGTCATACGTAACTGCTTCTTGCATTTGCTCTCTGTTGCTTAGGTACGCTGGTGGTCTTACGTCAGTTTGGCAGTCGACGATGTATCGCTGTGTGATTTATAGCATACGTATTGCAAATTAGAAGATGAAAATTAGCTTTACAGTCAAAAGACATGAAGCGCGCCCCCCGAWTAGTTCGTTWTTCAATGCATTATTGGATTTTTCATTTTATTTTTCGTTTTCAAACTTCAGTTGATTTAAGACAAAATTAAATTCAAATCTCGAACTCTGATACTGACAGAAAACATTACAGCATTTCCAGCTTTTTGAGACCGTCATTCCTTTCTCATGAGAAGGAACAGATCCAACCAAATTAACAGACAGCATATTGCAATGCATCGACTTGTGGAAATTACAAAAGACCAGCATGTTTGCAAGCGAAATACGAGAAGGCTTTATGRAAATCCGATCAATAATCCAATCAAATATCGAGGTTTGAATTCAAATTTGATTTCAATAATTTATATTCCACCAAGAATCGAATAATGAATTGAATAATGGTGTTTTGAGGGGACGCGCTTCATGTCTTTGACTGTAACCAGATTATGTTGCATTTCTGTAAAAACTAGGCCATCCTCAGCAACTGTCTACCACCAAATGCATC